GGAGCTAAACAAGTCTGTGGTGAAGTTTTACCCGATAAGAAAGCTGCCCTTAATCATATGAGGTTTCATCATGGGATTCGGTCTCTCGGGCACGTCCTCTGCAAAACCAACCAGTGCCCCAACTGCCTCGAGGTCTTCTTTTAGCACCGTCACGGCGAGTCGTCATTTGGCTGGTTCCATGAACAGAGGCTGCTGTTATCCGGGTGGGGGGCGCACTCAAGAGCCCCTGCATGAGCCTAATGATCTACAATGTCTGCTGTGTGAATTCCATGGATCTGATCTCAAGAGTTATCAGTTTCACGTCCGTATTCATTTTCCCCGAGAGCTTTCTATTTACGATCGACACCGACACTGCTATATTGTTGCTGGTGAGGCGCCTGTGAGCTATGTTGACGCTCGCGCGCCCAGGCTGGATGGCCAAGCTGTCCGAGCAGGCGCCGTCGTCCAAGAAGCCGAAGGCAGGAGAGAAGGGAGGCGGCGCGCCCCGCGGATCCGCCAAAGGTGGGAAAAAAAACAAAGCCTGGACGAGCTGGTCATCGTTCTCGCAAAGCTGGCGCTGAGCGACGAGGCGGAGCTGCGGGCGCTCATCGGCGCGGTGTACGACACGTGGCTGTGCAAGGTCGACTCCCCGACCGCGCAGCTGATGCTCGAGGAGAACCAGGCCTTCAACTCGGAGGCGCAGGAGGAGCGCGAGAAGGAGAAGCAGGACCCGACCTACACGAAGAAGAAGTTGCGCGCGCCCCACCTTCGTGTCTTCACGGCGCTGGCGCAGGGGGCGGCGACGAAGCCCGATGGGGGGCACGCTCTTGGCGGAGGACAGGAAGGCGGCCCACGCCTTCTGGGTGCAGACCGTGATGAAGATCACGGATCCCGAGGAGCTGGCGGACACGATCCGCTTTTGCAAAAGCCAAGAGGGTCAAGACCAAGTCTTCGGAGGGCGAGGACGTGGTGAAGGTGCAGTTCCTGCTGGCTGGAGAGCTTCCAGAAGCGATCGGGCTGCTGAAGGCGATCAGGGCGACGCTCCGCGCCGAGGGCGGCACCAAGACGATAGGAGGGGCGCCTCGCGGGGTGCTCGTGAGAGAGGCGCAGCGGCTGCTGGGCGTTGTCAAGTGATTGGTGTTCGTAGTCATTCCAGCGGCTTCGACTGGAGCCAGAGCGACCGTGTGCGCGAACTTCTGCGCGCAGGTCATCTTTCTGAGGAGGCGGCTCGTCGCGTTCGAGGCTTAGCCGCTCCGCCTGCTCCTGTTTTGCTTTTACCTCGCCCCATTCCTCCTCCTCCTGGCCTGGAGCCCCCTTCTGAGCCTCCCCCCCTTATGTGCACGATCCAGAATGCCTCTGAAATGGGGCCAGCTGTTGCAGTTAATGTTCGACCCCCTGTCTACCGCGGCAGGGGGGCTAAGGGGCGTGGAAAGGGCGCAGCTCGAGGCCGCTCTCGAGGTAGGGGTGGGCCGCGGGCTCCTCTGCCTTGAGGGTGCTTCGGGTGGTGCCTCCTCCTCGTCCCTCGGGGGGGTGGGGCAAGGCGCCTGGCGCTCTGCCTCTCCCCCCTTTCGTGTGTGCGTCGCTCAGGCAAGAGCTTCCCTGAGGACGGTGCTGATGGTGGCAGCCGCTTGGCTGCGCGCCATTGGGTGCGCCACTGGGCCCGAGCCAGCCCCACCGTGGCGCTGGCCAGCGCGCAGGCGGCACTCTCGGCCTACAGTAGTAGAACCTAGGCGCCCTCCTGGCAGGCTGGATGGACGGTGCGGCGCCCCAGGGTTATTCCTATTCCTATTCCTCCCTCTCCTCCTCCTCCTCCTCCTCCTCCTCCTCCTCCTCCTCCTCCTCCTCCTCCTCCTCCTCCTCCTCGGCTCTCAAGCCTGCGCTCCCTCTATGTACGAATGCTGGTCATCGTTTGGCACTTGCTGCTTCAAAGTCTGATCGTTTTTTCCCAGCATTTTGTACAGCAGAGAGAAGCTATGCCAGACATGCGAGAAGCTTGACAGCCTGGTGACCCAGCAGATGGTCGCGGGTGAGAATCCGGTGGAGCAGCTGCGTAAGGAGCTCGTGGAGACGTTATCGTTGGCCGCATCGCCTATTCCATCATGGTCTATATGTGTGTGGATGAATTCCCTGCCGAAAATAAAGACCCGATGGATCGCCTGCTCAACAGTGAGGTTTTCAAACGGTTCCGAGCGATCTGCGAGCAACAGAAGGCGAGGACATCGCCGGTGCCACGGACAGCTCGGTCGCGGTTTGCTGGACGTGATGGTCCTATGGATGGCTCTCTGGGCGCACGTCCTGCAGGGTGAGGAGACCCTCCAGCAACACTTCCCGCAGGACCGGCTGCACATCAGGGGCAGCTGCAGGCTCAGGAGGCGCAGCGGCTGCAGTGCCTGCGCTGGGTCCCGGCTTCCTGCGCGGAGCTCGAGGACTTCTACGGTCAGTCTCAGAGGATCGGCAAGCGTGCCTTCAGCGAGCAACTCACGGCCCCTCTCCAGAAACGCCAGAAGCGAGGGCAACAGCCTTGCTGCCAGCGTGCTGTGGCATGCCGCTGACGCAGGCCTCCCGCCCTCCCTTGGAGGGCAACTTCTGCCCTTGCGTTGGAAGATGCTTCTGGGCGGGAGGTCCACCTTGGGCTCAACTCCCCTGCGTTCGAGGTCCAGTTCATGCAGCTTGCGACCCAAGGGCACCACGAACGGCAACTCGCTGACTTCACCCCTGCTTTTGATGGGGGCCGTGATTGCCTGGGCCCTGCTCTCAAGATCTTCTGCCACAATCGGAGAAACTCCCCCCCTCGGGGGAAACGCATGGCCATCGCTTGATTTCGCAGGGGCGTGTGGAGGGAGACGAGCAAGGGCATGCGCGACAGGGTACGACTCCGGCGGCAAGTGCCCCCTTCTGCGGCAAGCCCGACGGTATGCAGCATAGAGTCTGGCTTTGCGAGCATCCCGACGCTGTTCAGGCTCGAGGCGATGCTGCTGGCGCTCACCATGTACGGCTAAGAGAGGTTGCAGAGAGCCAGATTTGTTGCTTTGCGACAATATGAAGTGGGATCGCCCCGTTGAAATCCCCCCCCCTGCGAATAACCCCAACCCCCGTCTTGTGCGACCCCGAAGCGAATCCGATCCCTTGGGGTTCCACAGGTTCAGAGTCTTGAGGATGTGTGCTTGAGCGGCTCTGGTGCTCGTCCACGAGTAGCGAGTTGTCCCGCGCTGCTCATGCCTGGGCTTCCCGGTGTGGAGGCGAAGAGATCCCTGCCCGTGCCAGAGGAGCGGCGTGGGGCGCCCCTCGGCAGACTCCGCAGGCGGCTCCGCACCGGGCGGTGGCAGGGTCGCCAATGTTGTGTGGCGGTGGTCAGGGTATGCCAGAACCACCTGCACCATCAGGATCTTGGAAGGCACGGCTGAGCGAGCATGAGGGGTGTGGGGGGGTGGTGTGCACGAGGGATCTTGGAGGCACGGCTGAGCGAGCATGAGGGTTGCCAATGTTGTATGGCGGTGGTCAGGGTATGTCAGAACCACCTGCACCATCAGGATATTGGAAGGCACGGCTGAGCGAGCAGGAGGGGGGGGGCTTGTTCCCGGAGCAACAGAATCGCGCATTGCACGCGCTCCTGCCCATAGGTCCCACCAAGTCCTTGCTAGTCCCCCTCGGCCCGACAGGAGGATCGGCATGGGTGACCTCAAGGCTGGCTCCCTGGCCAAGCTGAGCCCTCCTCCTCCTCCTCCTCATCCTCATCCTCCTCCTCCTCCTCCGTCCTCTACCTACCGATCACGATGACCTTTATGACAATAATTCAGTGAGAAGCTTCAGTTTGCGGCCCAAGGCATGGCCAAAGTTTTGTGCGTTTCCCCTGCGGCGAAGTCCCATCGGTGCTCCCAAAGACCGAGGCTTAACTTCCTTCGGTCTGGTTGTGAGCACCACTGGGGGACTCAGGAGGAAGGCCGCGCCAGGTGCTTTAGGCGCCTACAGTTTTGGACGCGTTCCATGCTAGGCTGCAAGTGCCCCATCATATTCTGGGAAGCGGTCTTAGATGTCACTCAGGGCCGTACTGTGGCCAGCACCACGGTACCATGCTTTTCTGTATTAGAGGCGGGAGGTAAACGGCCCGCCGATGCTTCAAGCTTGGGCCAGAGTGTCAAGGTCGAAGGCTCCCAGGAGCCAAGAGCACCGTGCCACGTATCATGCCAGGTTTGCACCCGCATCGCAGAGAGGAGGACGCGCGTGCCGCACAGTCTTCTCGTCGCGGGTCCAACTGCCCGTGCTGCGCTGCGACCACCCCCCCTCCGCATGAAGTTGCAAGGTCGATGCAAGGCCTGGAGGGCGTGGTCCAGACGCTTGGGATGCCTGCAGCTTTGCCCCGCGTGCACGCACGCGAGGCCGCTCCGCGCACTGCCTCTTGCATATGGGCCGACGGTGGCCCCCTCGGGCCCGCCCGCGGGCTCGCGGGGGAAGATCCTTCCGGGGGAAACCGCAGGGACCGATACTGCTGCTCCCCTGACCTCTCCCGGGGCGCGCTCTGAGCTCGATTTCGAGGCGAATCCAGAGGCGGCGACGAGGGCCTCCCAGGAGGCCCAAAAAGGCACCAAGAAACAAGGCAAGGGTGGCGGAATCGCTACCGTTCCCTCCTCCGGGTCGGTCACTCCGATTGGCTCGCGGAGGAAGATGTTTCCTCCTACCAGTAGCCGGCGATGTGCGCAAGGTGCCGATAGCCACCCCACGTGAGGCACTCCCAGCTCCTCTTCCCTGCTCCCAGCTCCTCTTCCCTCGTGCTCCCCCTCCTCCTCTCCTCCCCTCCCCCCTTCCTCTCCACCCTCTCTCCCTCCCTCCTGCATCTCTCCCTCCCTCCCTTCCTCTCTTCCCTCTCTCCCCCCCTCCCTCCCTCGTCCCTCTCTCCCCCCCCCACCCTCCTCCCTCCCTCTCTCCCTTCCCCTCCCCTCTCTCTCCCCCCTTCCTCCCCCCTCCCCACCCTCTCTCCCTCCCTTCCTCTCCCTCCCTCCTGCCTGCATGCCCCCCCCCCAGAGGCCCACGTCGCCGTGCGCAGGGGCCGCGCCTCCCGGCGCCCTGCGGGCGGCCTCGCCGTCGCCGGCGCGCCTCGGGGGCCCGTGGGCCTTCGCGGCATCCGCGACGGGGCCGCTCGACCAGTCGGGTGGCCCCTGCGAGGAGGGACGAGGAGGGAGGGGGGAGGAGGAGGAGGAGGAGGAGGAGGAGGAGGAGGAGGAGGAGGAGGAGGAGGAGGGAGGAGGAGGAGGAGGAGGATAGGCAGCCATGTGACATGCCTTGAGGACCCGATTCCGATTCCGATTCAAAAGAGGAGGAGGAGGAGGAGGAGGAGGAGGAGGAGGAGGAGGAGGAGGAAGAGGAGGAGGAGGAGGAGGAGGAGGAGGAGGGGGAGGAGTGAAGAGGAGGAGGAGGAGGATGAGGAGGAGGAGGAGGAAGAGGACAAACAACATAAGAATAATTAGACGAATGCTAGCATTAATAATAATAATAATAATAATAATAATAATAATAATAATAATACTAATAATACTAATAATACTATTAATACTAATAATAATAATAATACTAATAATAATAACAAGAATACTGTTAATAATAATAATGATATTATTATTAATAAGGGTAAGAATACGAATAACAGTATGAGTAATAGTGGTAATAACAAGACTAATAGTAATATTAATATTAGTTAAAAATAAGAATGCGAATACTAATACACAGCAGACTGATAATAACAATAATAATACTGCGAGCACGAATGATAATGATAATAGTATAATAAGAATAAGAATACTAGTACGACTACTACTACTAATATTAATAATAATAATGATACTGCGAATGCGAATCATAATACTAACAATACTAACAGCAACAATAATACTACGAATAATAATGATAATATGAATGCGAATGCGACGAACACTATTACTATGATATAAGAACCATAATGCTAATGCGAAGAAGAGCAACACTAACACTACAACTACTAGCAATGATAAGAGTAATAATAATAAGAGGAGGAGGAGGAGGAGGAGGAGGAGGAGGAGGAGGAGGAGGGGGAGGGGGACGGTTTCCAGCGGTCTCGTGCGGCCAGCGTCGCGGCGGCGACGCACGCAGCGCTTGCCCCTCCCCCAGGCATGCCCCCATTCTCAAGGGGCTCCCGTCCAGGGTATGGGGCGGCCGCGCTCGGGCGCCGCTGGCGGTGCGCTCGGCCTCTGGCCGCTCCCCTGGGTGCGCCCGCTTTCTCAACGGGCTCCCCAGGGTTTGCAGCTCCGGGGGGCGCCCGCTCCGTCCTTCTCCTCGCCCGCCCTCTCGTCCTGCGTCCCCGCTCCCGCGTCGAGCTCGGCCTCTTTCGCGGCCTCAGCTGCCCCCTGGCGAGCGGCCGCCGCCCGCAGCAGCGCGTCCTGCGCCGTCTGCGCCGCGGTCTCCGCTGCGAGGGCGTCCGCTTGCGCCGCGGCCAGCTGCGCGCGGGCGTCGGCGGTCGGCGGCGCTCGGCGGTCGTCGGGGGCGCGCGCCTTGGCCAGCGGCGCTGCTCGGCGCCGCCGCCCTGTGGCCCGCTGCTCGGCGGCCTGCAGCCTCGCCAGCTGGCCCTTGGAGTGCAGCTCCTGGTAGGTCGGCTCTTGTCCGCCGCTGGCGTCCCTGGCCGCTCCGCCCGAGGCATGGGCTCGGGTCGCCAGCGCGGCGTCTTCTGGCCTGGCCCGCTCCGCGGCGCCTGGCCGCTCGTGGCAGGCTCCCGAGGGGCGCGGCCTCGGCGGCCGTGCGTTCCGCCTCCGTCGGGCGCGAGGCTTCGGCCTCGGCGCCCTGCACTGCCTCCGCCAGCCGCTCGGTCTCCAGGTGCTGCTCAAGCCCCGCGGCGCGAGCGGCCGCCAGCGCCTCGGCAGTCGCGGCTTGCTGCTCGGTCAGCGCCTCGGGCCTGAGCTCAGCCCCCGCCGTGCCGTCCGCGCCGCGCGCGGCCTCCGCCTGCCGCTCGACGCGGGCCTCCTGCCTTAGCCGTTCCAGCAAGTCGTCCTCTGGTCCTGGCGCGCGGGCGGCCGCCAGCGCTTCTTAGGCCAGCGCCTCCGCGTGCGTCTCGGACGGCGGCTCGCGCTCGCCAGGGCCGTCGCCGGCTGGGTCCGCGCGCTCGGCCAGCGCCTTCACCAAGGCTGTGGCCAGCCGCGTGGGCTGTCTGCCTCGGTGCTGCGCCAGCTCCCCGAAGCAGTACCAGCTGATGGAGGTCATCTGAGTTTTTCAGGCACGACACTACGCTTGCGGCTGCTCGTTTGTCAGGTCAAAAGACGCCGGGCGTCCCGCCCCCCACGGCGGCGCCGACGTCGGGGCCGGCAGCCGCGGCGGGGGGCCCACCCGCGGGCCGCGGCCGGCGCCTATGCGATGGGCTCGGCCGCGGCGCGCGCTGCTGCTCGCCGTGGCCGCCTGCAGGTGCACGGCGGCCGCGGCCGGGGGCGGCGGCGAGCCGGGGCCCAACCCCAGACATGATCGCGTCGTAACAGAAATCAGGGCAGGAGGTTTTCCGCTACTTTCGGCCCTGGTGGCCCTCGCCGGGCTTCGGGAGCGTCAAAAAACGACTCAGGATGAAAAACCAGCCCCGGGGAAAGGGTCTGGACTTCCGGGGACGCCGTCCTGGAAAAATCAGGATGTTGCATGCCTGGGACCGCTCGAGCAGTGGCGAAGCGTCCTGGCTTCGACTGGACGTGAGGGTGACCCTTCGCCGGAGTGACATCCTGGTGCGCGCCCAAGAGGGTCCCCCGATCGCTGAGCGCGAGGCGGTGGCAGCGGCTTGCGCGCCCAGGTGTGGTCGCCCCGCGTCCCCCGCTTAGCCGCGCACCAAAGATCGCTCACTCTTACCCAGGGTCACTCTTACGTGCAGCCGCTGGCTCGCCTGGCAGGCCCGCCAAAGGAGGTTCTGAGGACCTGCTGTGGGCTGCGCGAGGTGTTCTCAGCACCTCTCTGGCGGGGGCTGCCCCGTTTTGACACGTCGGGCTTCTGTTCCAAGAGCCTCGCTTTTGTTCTCGGACCATTATTGTGGGTCCTTCACCGAGCGCGTTCCACTACTAGCAAAGTACCTCCTCGCAAACGTCCGAAACAAAAGACACATGCCCGCGCTGATGTGACTTGTCGTAGATCCCCCGCGGGGGATCCAGGCCATTGGCGAGCAGTTACGTTGCGAGTAGTGGAGCGCGCTCGTCGAGTTCCAAGAACATGTCGTCGCAGGCCTGCAGGAGTGCCGGGGCGGTCGGCCCCTGCTCAAAACGCCGAGGGGGGGGAGTCGTCGGCCACGCGCAGAGCCTGCGCTCCTGGCGGTGGCAACCCTGTTCCCAGCGGGCGTGGTCGCGCCATTCCGGGCTCCAGGACTGGTGGGCTCGTCTTCCTCCACCACCACCATAAGTAGGAGGGGGAGGGTGTCCTCTTCTTCTTCTTCTTCTTCTTCTTCTTCTTCTTCCTCATCATCCTCCACCTCCGTCCCCCCTCCAACTTATGGTGGTGGTGGTGGAAAACATGCCCATCAAGGACCCTCGCAGATCGATGCGGCGCGAAAAGTGCTGCAGAATGAGGGGGGCGGGTGCTCCAGTCGCGATTCTTTGCGATATGTTCACAACGGGCGTTGTCGCGTAATTTCGGGCTCCAGGACCCTCGCAGATCGATGCGGCTCGAAGAGTGATGCAGAAAGAGGGGGTCGGGTGCTCCGGTCGTGATTCTTTGCGATGCTGCACTTTTCTGTTGCAACGTCGGATCTCAGGGGAGGGGGGGGGTCCAAGAGCGGCCCCAGATGGCCCCCTTGAACCCTTTTGGGGCCCCTGTCTTCACCCCCGCTTTTCGGGCACCTGGAATCTCGTTGATCGAGGGAAGAGATACGGGGACCATGACCAAGATGTCGCGAGATCTTGTCGGATCTTGTCGGTGCCGATCTTGGTCATGGTCCATGTCGGCCGTCGCCGAGTCGCGAGGAGGATCCACGAAATGGCGCTGACCAGGATCCACGGTGACCAAGGTCGACACGACGTTTCCGCGTGCAGCCTTGGTCACGGTCCCATTTGGGGCCCGGGATCGGTGGATCTATCGGCGACTGCAATCGGGCGCGTGTGAAGGCCGCCAGCCGCGCGCAGAGGAGGGGCAGAGGGAGGGGGGAAGGCTTCCTAGAAGCACCCTTAGAGGGAAGGCTTCTCAGAAGTACCCTTATAGAGGAGGGTTAGAGGGAGGGAAGAAGGCTTCTTTGATGGAGGAGGGGTCGAAAGAGGGGGAAGGCTTCTTAGAGGAGGGGTAGGGCAGGTAGAGGGAGGGGGAGGCTCCTAAGAAGGCGCGGGCCTGGTCTACAGATGTGGGGCCGGCGCCTTCCAAGGAGCGGCCTCCTTCCAAGAGGCCTTCCCCCTCCACTCTGCGCTTCGCCAAGACGGGGGCCAGGCTCAGGGGGAGGGGGCGAGGCCGCGGCCCCCAGCCGCCCAGGGCCGGCCTTTCCTCGCGAGTCGGCTCGCGAGTCGACCGCCAACGAGACGGGTGTCTCGTTGGGTCCCCATGGGCCTTTCGCGATGGCTCCCGGAGGCCGGGCGCGGCCCGTGGCCGGTCGGCGCCGTCGCGTTTTGTCCCCAAGCAGTGCTTGCACTGCAGGGGTCCTATATCCCTCGCCCTCCACCTTCCGCACCTTCCGCGCGGCAGGTGCCGCACCGCGGCGGACGCCGCCGCCGCCGAAACCGCTGCTGCGGCCTCGGCGGAAGCCGCAATGGCGGCCGCGGCGGCGGCCGCCGCGGCGTGGAACCTGCCGCGCGGAAGGTGCGGAAGGTGGAGGGCGAGGGATAGCGGAGGTTGGAAGCTTTGGCGAACGCTTCCTGCCGATTTTGGCAGCAGGCTGGGTTCCCGGGTTCCCGGTTCCGGGTTCCCGGGTTTCCGGTCACTGGCCGATTTCGGTGGGTTTGGGGTTCCCGGGCTCCCGGGTTCCTGGTCGATCTCCTCCGCGGAAACCATCCATTGATCTACGCCGCAGACATGTCTGGGGCCTGACAGCGGCGGCCCATGCCAAGAACGCCCTGCCCGCCTCCAGGGAGCCCTGGGTCTCTTTGGTTCCGATGGCTTTGCTGTGGGAAGGCGCGATGTTCCCGCACCAGGAATCTATGGACGTCCTGGGGTCTCAGGGTTGGGTTTCTTGTGGAAGGT